CAAAGTCCCGTCACCAACGGGCCCTTATGGCATAGTGCAAACAAAACTCCATATACATGCATGAGCCCACCTCGAGATATGCTACGGGCATGGTCTCCAAAGTCTAGAGCTCGAGCACGACCAGTTCGAAACGGGATTGATAAAAATCCAACTGCAAGTCCTCGTGCTCGAGTTTACGTCACAATTGGGGATATCCTCGAGCTAAGCTCCTGAGGAGTGAAAAGTAATGATAGACTAAGCTATCCTTGAGCCTCGGACTGAATGAGTTACAAACTACACTCTTTGGGCTCATGATATATTGATAAGATATTCCATCGTCGAGCTTCAGTTAAGCTATCCTCGAACTCATTACAATTTCATTATGTACAAAGCTGAGCATAATCCGTTGGATATTAGATTGATTAAATGAGCTATCATCGAGCTCATGACTTATCGTCAAGCTCATATACATCCTCACCTAACTATCGAGCTCTAAGAACGGAGGCACGGGGGCCAGTGATTATTAGACACCTCGAACACGAGAAGTGACGGGGCTCTCGTTTTGGGATTATATGACCCAAGTCCTCAAGCTGATTACTTTTAAAAGTATTACATATATAGTCCTCGGGCTGATTACTTTTAAAAGTATCACGTTTACAATCCTCGAGCTATATACCTTCTAAAAACTCATTCAATTTTCTGGTAACGAAGTCGTCGAGATTGTTTATGCAAGTCCTCGAGATTTTTAATCACGTAATCCTCAAGTTCCTACTTTTAAATATTGCCCAGGCCTTATAGTCCTCGTGTTTTAAATCGTCGAGATTCTAAAAGTTGTACGTTCTCATTACCCTTTTGATATCGACGTTCTCATCTTTAAAATAAGGGTCCTCGAATTCATTTTTATCGTCGAGTTTTAAAGGTCGTCGAGTTTATTCTTCTGCACACCCCTCGAGTTTTAAACCAGTAAAAGTTCATGCAAAATTGCAAGTTTAAGGTCCTCCAGATGACGGTTATCAAAGTTAGTGAACACAAAGATCGGGCAATTAAAAAACGAACAGGTCGAGAAATTAACATTGCAGAAAGAAAAGGATTGACATTGTTTTCGAGCATTGCTCGTGCAAAATACATACATAAAATTTTTAATCTAAGTCCCCGGCCTCGGGATCGTTTAAAGAGCTCGGGAGGTCACCTTCTTGATCCTCCCCATCAACATCGACCTCCTGGTCATCGTCAGCCTCTTTCTCATCTGACAGCTCGAGCTGTTCAGCTACTTCAGGGATGCCCTTTAGATCTTCAGGTTTGGCTTCCGGCCTCGAGCGCATGAAAGCTCGAGCCTCTTTTAAAGCATGGAAATACAAGCCCAAGCTGTATTCACCCTGCAGCTTCTTAAATTCCTCGGACGTCTTGAACTCCTCGATAGCTTCATCCCGGGAACTCATCAACTTCTCCTCGAAGTCCTTTTGGGCTCGCTCGAGCTCCAGCTTTAACTCCTCGGCCTCATCACGAAAGGAGCCAGCCTCATCTCGAGCTTTAAGGAGCTCATCCCTGGCCTCATCACGCTCTTTCCCGAGGAGGGTCCGCTCAGCCTTCAGCTCAGCAATTTCTCTATCTCGAGCCTTTACATCCTCAAGAAGACCTTCAAGTTTTTGGGACCCCTTGGCCCCTTTCAATGCAAGTCCCCGAGCAACACTCAAGGCCTGGAAAAGTTTGAGTTTATCATTGAGAAAACAAGACATAAAACTGAGAAACTAAAAAGAATACACCGAGCTCACCTTTGTCAGCAATGTCTCGGGCACACCATCTTCGGGACCTTTATCCCCTAGATACTTATCAACAATACTCGACACAAGGCGACATAGGTCCCTATCCTCGGGCCAAACGGGGCGCGATGGAACGCCCTCGTTATCGAGATTGACGACGACAGTGGAAGCTCGAGGAATAGTATCTTCTCGAGGATCCCTCTGAGGTGTTTGGCGAGTAACTGTGGGTCTCCCCAACCCTGACGATGTCGTTTTACCCATCGACGACTCTCCAGGGCCGCTCACAGGCTGTTCATACCTCGAATCCCGAGGCCTTTTCTTTCCTTTCTTTTGGCCGGGAACCTGGGCTTGAGGGGCCTTGCTCTTCTTCCCGACGGCTTGTCGTAATGCACTTGGGTCGAACGTCATTTCTGCACAGAGCAAACACATTAGCTCGAGCTAGAATATCCTCGGAATAATCTATGTAAAAGAAATGAGCAAGTCCTACCCTCGAGGCCCTTCATCCCTGACAGATCGAGGATATCATCCCCAAGGATGTTGTCCATATCGTACACAAGAGGCTCGAGCTCCTCTAACATTTGCCTGTCTCTCTCTAAGGACTCAAAATATGCCTGACCCTCACAAAAACTCGACGTATCTGGGAAATCCCATCGAGGACTAAAGGGAAGGTCGGGATCTTGAGACACGACGAAAAACCATTTGTCTTTCCAGCCTTTTAATGAGCTAGGCATCCTAGGAACCTTAAACCCTCCTCGGGTAGAAAGGTAGGCAAAACATGAAAACTGGGGAAGTTGTTTCAGGTCGAAGACCATCCTACAGAGGTCGATGTAAATGTTAATTCCTAAGTATCTACAGGCAATGAAGAAATAAACTAACATCCTCCACCCATTCGGTACTAATTGCCCCGGGCACATATTGTACTCGACCATTAGTGCCACGAAGAAGGGATGCAAAGGCCACCTAAAACCCCCCTTTAAGGAATCCCTGAAAATAACAAACTCCCCTTCCCGAGCAATAACCATCCTATCCTCAGATTCGAGCGACCTAATGTCACAGCCCGGCATAATCCCATATTCCCAAGCACACTCCACTGCTAGGTGCTCCTTAAATCAACATGGATGGTCGGGGTAAGTAAAGGGTGCCTGAGCCCGAGGCTGAGCACTTATAGGAACAGCCATGGGAATGATCGAACCTCCC